AGTTGAAGGTAAAGTAGCAAGCAGAAATCCATGATCATCTGTACAATATTACACTGATACTTTACAAGCTCTTTTAAATAGAAGTTACCCTAGTTTAGAATGAGCATTAAGTAGTCCTCCTAAACCTCACGCTTTTGTAAGTCTTCCTTTACAAAGTGGGATTTTATAATGACGAACTTTTTAAATTTAAAAACTATTACCGTTTTGTTATTAATTGTTTTAATTTCGTTTTCTCGTAGCACAAGCTCTAAAAAGTTTTTAACCAATTAAAAGACGTAGGCTATAAAATAAATTTAGAATAGTCTATATAAACTTAATAGTGAAATACTAAACTATAAAAAAAAATAACTATACAAAAAATATAACTATACAAAAAATATAACTATAATTTAATCGTAAAAGTCTCATTAGCTCAATGGTAGAGCAGAATACTTCTAATATTCTGATTTTAGTTCGAATCTGAAATGAGATAATTCAGGGCTAAGCTCTGAGTCAGATTAATTTAATACAAAATAGGAATTAATAATATAATAACACCTAGTCGTAGGAAAATTCTTTTTACTGGTTTTTTATTTCTATGATACTTTAATAGAATTGATAGCGAGGGCTAAGTATACCTTAGGCTGTATGCGTACGAAATCGTAACAAGCGCGTTATAATTTTATTATTAAGTATTTATAACACAAAAACCTTGATCTTTATAAATAATAAATGTATTATACTTCAACTCTTTTATCTGTATTAGAAGTAGTTTTATTAATGTTGCCTGCTTTATTAGCAGTAGCTTATGTTACAGTTGCCGAAAGAAAAACTATGGCAAGTATGCAAAGAAGATTAGGACCAAATTCTGTAGGATATTATGGATTATTACAAGCTTTTGCTGATGCTTTAAAATTAATTTTAAAAGAATATGTTGCACCTACACAAGCTAATACTATATTATTCTTCTTAGGTCCTGTAGTTACTTTAGCTTTCGCCTTATTAGGTTATGGAGTAATACCTTATGGACCAGGTTTAACTTTAAATGATTTAGAATTAGGTATATTATATATGTTAGCTGTTTCATCTTTAGCTACTTACGGTATTTTATTAGCGGGATGAAGTGCTAATAGTAAATATGCTTTTTTAGGATCTCTTAGAAGTACAGCTCAATTAATTAGTTATGAATTAGTTTTAAGTTCTGCTATACTTTTAATTATCATGATTACTAGTAGTCTTAATCTTAATATAAACATACAAGCTCAAAAAGCTGTATGACTTGTATTACCTATATTCCCTATTTTCTTAATATTCTTTATAGGTTCTGTAGCAGAAACTAATAGAGCTCCATTTGATTTAGCGGAAGCTGAATCAGAATTAGTTAGTGGATTTATGACAGAACATGCTGCAGTTGTATTTGTGTTCTTCTTCTTAGCTGAATATGGTAGTATTTTATTAATGTGTATATTAACAAGTATACTATTTTTAGGTGGTTATTTATTAGGATTTAATCTGTTATACTGATTTAACTTAATAAATAATTTATGAGCTTATGTATTTGATATAGATTGAGTGTTATCTGCAGAATATAATAATCTAAAAAATTTTGTAAGCGCTTTTGCTGAAAGTGGTTTATTTTCTAGTCTTATTTTAGGTGCAAAAAGTTCTCTTTTAGTTTTTATTTTTATATGAGTTAGAGCTTCATTCCCTAGAATACGTTTTGACCAATTAATGTCATTCTGTTGAACAGTATTATTACCTTTATTATTTGCTTTCATTATATTATTACCTTGTACTTTATACGCATTTGATATCTTTGTAATAAATATAACTATATAATATTTCGAATTTCTTTTTCTAGCCCTACCTATGTGTGTGCGACATCGTCGCGAGCCTTGCTTATATATCATAATTTCCTATTATGATACATATTAAGACCTTGTTAAAAATTCTTTTTTAAATAATGTTATTATCGCTTTTACTTATTATTCCAATTATAGGTATATTTATTATATCTAGTCTTACTTCTTATGAAGGCCCTAACTCTAATGTAGAAAATGTAACACTTTACAAACAAATAGCATTAGTAACTTCTAGTGTGAATATGATTTTATCTTTTATCGTTTATATATTTTTCAATTCAAGTACAAATCAATTCCAATTTGTACAAGAACACTATAATGTACAATTGTTTGATGTTTATTTAGGAGTAGATGGTATTTCTATCTATTTTGTATTATTAACAACTATAATAATGCCTATTGCTTTATTATCAAATTGAAACTCTATAAAAGAAAATGTGAAATTTTATTTAAATACTATATTATTACTAGAAACATTACTATTAGGATGTTTCTTAGTTGCAGATATACTATTATTCTATATCTTTTTCGAAAGTATTTTACCTCCTTTATTTTTATTAATAGGTTTATTTGGATCTAGTAATAAAGTAAGAGCAAGTTATTACTTTTTCTTATATACAGTATGAGGATCTTTATTCTTATTATTAGCTATTTTAGCTATGTATTCTATAATGGGTACAACAGATTTTGATGCGTTATTTAAAACAAATTTTGATTATACTACTCAAATTATATTATTTGGTGCTATATTTTTAGCATTCGCTGTAAAAACACCTGTAATATTTTTAAATAATTGACTATTAAAAGCTCACGTTGAATCACCTTTAGGAGGAAGTATCATACTAGCTGGAATTGTTTTAAAATTAAGTTTATATGGTATATTTAGATTAATTTTACCTGTATTACCTAAAGCTACATTAGACCTTACTTTTATAGTATACACTATAGGTGTTATTACTATAATCTATGCAAGTTTTAGTACATTAAGAACTGTAGACGTTAAAGAATTAATTGCGTATAGTTCTGTGTCTCACGCTGCTGTATATTTAATAGGTGCCTTTAGTAATACAATTCAAGGTATAGAAGGAAGTATTGCTTTAGGATTAGCTCACGGATTTGTATCTAGTGGTCTATTTATATGTGCAGGAGGTATATTATATGACAGATCGGGTACTAGAATGATATATTTATACAGAGGTATAGCTCAACTTATGCCTTTATTCTCTATACTATTCTTTATATTATCTTTAGGTAATTGTGGAGCTCCTTTAACATTAAACTTTATAGGAGAATTTATGTCTCTTTATGGAGTAGTAGAAAAACTACCATTATTAGGTGTATTAGCTTCTACATCTATAGTATTCTCTGCTGCATATACTATATATATGTTTAATAGAATTACATTTGGAGGTTCTTTCACTAAATTCTTTGAAGAAAATATATTTGATACTACAAAAAGAGAATTTACATTATTGTTTATACTAGTTTTATTTACTGTTATACTTGGAATATACCCTTCATTAATATTAGACAGTTTACATTATTCTGTAGCTAATTTAATTTATAGTTTCTAAGATTATATGTAAATATATTATATATAATTTACCTTTGTTAAACTTTATATGACTATTGTCAATAAAAGCCAAAATAACTTGATTATGTGGAGATATAATCAGAGGTTCGATTCCTCTATAATCAATATAGAATTACATACCTTTATTATATGACTAATTACTTTTTTATATTTAATGGAAATAATGGTGATAAATCTATGAATAATCCTGATAGCTTTCATAGTTCACTAAGAACTAATATTATCTTGTTTAATATTAGAGTTTACATTCTTTTTTTTTTCAAATAGGCATACGACCTTCGTTACAGCATAGCTGTCCTGTGACCTTATTTTTATATCTTCTAGTTTTATATTAAACATTAATACTGCAGGCAGGCGGTTAAATTCCGCCGCCTATTTTATAAGTATTTAAAAATTAATCATTAAAAAAATGCCTCAATTAGTACCTTTTTATTTTGTTAACGAAGTAACTTTTGCTTTTGCTATAATTGTGTTACTTACTTACGTATTTTCTAAATACGTATTACCAAGAATAGTTAGTTTATTCGTATCTCGTCTTTTTATCTCTACATTATTAGATAAATTTGGATTATAATAAATTTTAGATATTTAGATATTTTAAGGCCTATATAAAAAGCTTAGAGTATAATATGAATACTTTAAGTTTAAACAATTTACATAAAGAAATCTCTAGTCCTTTAACTCAATTTGAAATAAGAGATTTATTAAGTATAGATTTACCTATACTAAGTGATTTACATATATCTATGACTAACATTGGGTTATACTTAACAATTGGATTAGTTTTCACATTAATTTTAAGTATATTAAGTATAAACAATAACAAATTAGTTAGCAATAACTGATCAATAAGTCAAGAATCATTATACGCAACTATACACGGTATAGTAGTAAATCAAATAAATGCAAGAAGTGGTCAAGTTTACTTCCCTTTTATTTACACTTTATTTATATTTATATTAATAAATAATTTAATAGGTATGGTACCTTACAGTTTTGCATCAACTAGCCATTTCGTTTTAACATTCGCTCTTAGTTTCACTATAGTTTTAGGTGCAACTATATTAGGATTCCAAAAACATGGTTTAAAATTCTTTTCATTATTAGTACCAGCTGGTTGTCCTTTAGCTTTATTACCTTTATTAGTATTAATAGAATTTATTTCATACTTAGCTAGAAATATTTCTTTAGGACTTAGATTAGCAGCTAATATATTATCAGGTCATATGTTATTACATATATTAGCAGGATTTACTTACAATATTATGACTTCTGGATTTATATTTTTCTTCTTAGGATTAGTACCTTTAGCATTTATAATTGCTTTCTCTGGTTTAGAATTAGGTATTGCATTTATACAAGCTCAAGTGTTTGTAGTTTTAACTAGCGGTTATATAAAAGACGGATTAGACTTACATTAAGGAACAAGTTAATAATTAGTATAATTTAGTTTGCTACTATCTTTTGTTAATAAATTACACGAGCCTCCGGCTACAGAAGGTTTATAACCTTCTACCCCTTGGGGCTAATAGAAGGTCGAATTAATATTCAAAAAAAAAATAAAAAGGGTATTATCTTAATGGTAAAGAAGAGCATTACGGCCGCTAAGATATAGGTTCAAATCCTATATACCCTTCTTAATCTAGAATCAAAATTTTAGTATTATGCATATATTTAGTGATAAAGAATGAAAGTCCTCCTGGTTATTAGTTAGTATATAGATAATTAACAATTATCAATATAAAAAATAATGGTCATTTGTAGAGAAAATATTCAAAATTTAACATTATATCTAGTTTTCTTGTTACTGATTCTATTTAGAGGTAAACAAGTGGTTTTAATTCATTAAATAAATAAATTCAAATTGGTGGAATTTATAAAGAATGAATAAAAATTATAGCACCAATAAGTTAATTTTAATAAAAAGTGGTCTTTATGATCTTAGTTTGAACGAACGATTAAGCCGATTTTAATAATTTTTTTGGTCTGATATTAGATGTTGATGTACTTGGCATCGTATTTAATATGATGTAGGTTTAAACTTAATTTTGCTAATTACAATATTTTGAAAACCTTAAGTGCATCCCAAGACAGTCCTGCTATATAAGTGAAATATTTCAAATTTCTCGGATCAGGTCGTGGATGGTAAGTACTAAATATATTCCTAATCATATATTTGAACAAGGTAATTTGTACTTTACATCTATCATAAAAGGAGCGTGATCTTATCCTAAAATAAAAAAAAGTTTGGATTTATTAGTGATGTATTTGACATCAACATAATTATATAGATGAGTTTGGTGATGGCTCTGAATGAATGCTGTCCAAATGCTTGACACATGCTAATCGTACGATTAATTTAATGAGTAATTTAATTAATAAGTGGTGTACAGGTGAGTATATGATATTTTCACTACCTTAAAGTGAGGGATAAAATCCCACATAGTAATAAAGGCTATCATCCCATTCTATGGGAAAGCCGCTTTAGGATGAAGATTAATATCGTCGAGAGAGGTAGTAGTAAAGGTGATGTCTTCACTAGCCTTAAAATCTCGTAACCGTAACTGAAAGGTTGATCGGTCACATTGGGTCTGAAAAAAGCCCAATGCAAAATTAGTACAGCAGTGGGGAATTTTGGTCAATGGCCTAACGGCTGAACTGGCAATTTGGGTAAACGAAATAGAATTGTATCTACAAAAATAAAGTTTTAAGTACGTATTAATAATGATAATATGTATACTAGTCTTGACCAATTACGTGCCAGCAGTCGCGGTAATACGTAAGAGACGAGCATTATTCATATTAAATAGGTTTAAAGGGTACCCAGACGGTCAAAATACCTTAATTAAAAGGAGTACTTGACTAGAGTTATATGTGAGAAGACCGTACTTGAGGTGGAGAGATTATATTCTGTGATACCAAAAGGACTGATAAAGGCGAAGGCTGTCTTTTATGTAATAACTGACGTTGGAGGACGAAGGCATAGAGAACGAACAGGATTTGACACCCTAGTAGTCTTTGCAGACAATGATGAATGCCATGGACTAGATAAAGCATTATGCGATAAATTTAGTCTATAAATGAAAATGAAAGCATTTCACCTCAAGAGTAATGTGGCAACGCAGGAACTGAAATCACTAGACCGTTTCTGACACCAGTAGTGAAGTATGTTATTTAATTCGATGATCCACGAAAAACCTTACCACAACTTGAATATCTAGTAAATAGATACAGGAGTTGCACGGCTGTTTTCAGTTAATGTTGTGAAACTGTGGTTTTTCCATGAAATTAACGGAATCCTTTGCTTTATTTATAGAATGTTTTATAAAGCAATCTTTCTTTATAGCGGAAAAGATAAGAAGGAAAAAGACAAGTCATCATGGCCCTTATGTTGTGGGCTATAGACGTGCCACGTAGTCCTTAACAAAGAGATGCGAAAATGCGAATTTTAGCTAATCTCAAAAAAGAGGATATAAATTATACAAGGATTGTAGTCTGAAACTCGACTATATGAATAAGTAATTACTAGTAATCGTGAATCACCATGTCACGGTGAATTTAATCTCGGATTGGTACTAACCACTCGTCGCATGCTGAAAGGAGTTTACGCAATAAGTTTGCTATTCTGTTATAATCTCTTTTATAAATTGGATTAAAATATTATAATGGAATTCTTCGTATGCGTTACTCTGATTAGTGTTAAGTCGAAATATGGTTCGTGTAGTGGAAGTTGCACGGGGTTTATAAACTTAAAAAATATGATTGTATATATCCGCTCGAAAGAGTTCTGGTTATATGCAAAATAATGTATTATATATATCCATTCAAAGGGGCGGCGCAAGCTCCCTCTGGTTATATGTAATATATTGTAAGGAGAGTTCCTTTATTGGCAAGAAGGGTTGAGCTGTAAACTCAATAGCAATTTTCTGCTTTAAGAGTTCGAATCTCTTGTCTCCTAAGTTCGCCTTTATAGCTCAACGGTAGAGCATAATACTGTTAATATTATGATAGAGGTTCGATTCCTCTTAAGGGCTCGATGATAAAAAATTCGTATGGCAATTCTACATGCCTAGCTGTTCAGTAATTCAAAAAAAAATAGTATGACAAATTTAACAAGAAGTAATTTTCAAGATCATCCTTTTCATTTAGTTTCTCCATCTCCTTGACCGCTTTATACTAGTCTGAGTTTATTATCTTTAACTTTAAATTCAGCACTAGCAATGCATAATTTTGCTAACGCTTATGTATTTACTTACATAGGTCTATTTTTAGTTGTAAGTTCTATGACTTTATGATTTAGAGATATAATAGCTGAAGGTACATTCTTAGGAAATCACACTTTAGCTGTACAAAAAGGACTTAATTTAGGTGTAATACTTTTTATAGTATCTGAATTAATGTTCTTTGTTGCTATATTCTGAGCATTCTTCCATAGCGCTTTAACACCTACAGTTGAATTAGGAGCACAATGACCACCTATGGGTATAGATCCTATAAATCCTTTTGAATTACCATTACTTAATACAATTATATTATTATCTAGTGGAGCTACAGTTACTTACAGTCACCACGCTTTAATTCAAGGAGACAGAGCTGGAGCTATATACGGTGCAATCGCTACAGTAGTATTAGCTATAGTGTTTACAGCTTTCCAAGGTGTAGAATATTCAGTATCATCTTTCACAATTAGTGACGGTGCATTTGGTTCATGTTTCTACTTTGGTACAGGATTTCACGGATTCCACGTTATAATTGGTACAATATTTATAGGAGTAGGGTTATGAAGAATATACGCTTACCACTTAACTGATAACCATCACTTAGGATTTGAAGGAGGTATTCTTTACTGACATTTCGTTGACGTTGTTTGATTATTCTTATATGTATCTATATATTACTGAGGTTCATAATAAATTATATAAAACAGTGCAAGCGGCGGCTTCGCACATACGTAGCCTAAATATATTATTAGTATTCAAAAAAAGGGATTTTAGTATAATGGTGAATACATATGACTTTTAATCATTATGATATTGGTTCGAATCCAATAGATCCTACTTGTTTACTAATATATATATATTTATCCTAATTCTAGTAAATTATTAATAAGCTATTTTGTACTAACGGATATACTGGAAATATTAGTGATATATATATAATAGCAGTATATTTAATATAAGTAAAATAAAACGGTTATCATTTAATGGTAGGATTGCTGTCTTCCAAACAGAGTGTGTTGGTTCGATTCCAACTAACCGTAAATATCTGATCTAATAGCTTAATTGGTAAAGACTTTTCCTGTCACGAAAAGGGATGTCGGTTCGAGGCCGACTTAGTTCGATTATTAAAGTATGATATTAACAAGATTTGTAGGAAAGGTCGCCATAGGTAGGGCAAGATATTTGCTAAATATTATGTGAAAACATTTGGGCGTTCGAGTCGTCTTCTTTCCGTAACAGACTTAAACTTAGTTTTCAAGATTTATTCTTGTTATAACACTTTCCCTAATAAAGGGTAAAATTATTCTGTACAATATGACTAACTTATTTATCATAGATGAAATATATACTAGTGGGTTTAAAACAGGAGCTTTAGATATTGTTTCTATATTTGCAATATTATGTGCCATTTTAACAATTGTAAGTAAAAATCCTATAGTATCTGTTCTATTTTTAATAGGATTATTTGGAAGTGTATCTTCTTACTTAATATTATTAGGGTTAAATTTTATAGGTTTATCTTACTTAATTGTTTATATTGGGGCGGTATCTATATTATTTCTGTTTATTTTAATGTTAATTAATATTAGAGTTAGTGAGTTACAAAGTAACACTAAAAATAGTATACCTTTAGCTTTATTTATAACAATCTTCTTTAATTATTTAGTTTTCCAATTCTTACCATATGATTTAGCAATTTTAAATAATTCAAATAATTATTTAAATAATGTATTATATCATACTTCATTAAATGGTGCTTCACCTGAAAAAATATTTAATGGTAATAAAATATCAAGTTTAGCTAACGGTTCAGAGGGAAGCTCTGATTTATTCTTTGCTACAAGTAGTAGTTGAGATGGAAATTTAATCGAAACAAGTCATATATCTAGTATAGGAAATATATTATATACAAGTCATAGTATGTGATTAATATTAGCAAGTTTTATTCTATTATTAGCTATGATAGGAGCAATAGTAATTACAATAAAACAAAAAAACCAAAGGGATTAGCTCAATGGTAGAGCAACCGTTTTACACACGGTAGGTTAAGTGTTCGAGTCACTTATTCCTTAAAAAGAGTATAGTTTAATGGTAAAACAAGAAGCTTCAACCTTCGAATTCTTAGTTCGAGTCTGAGTACTCTTGTATATGTGTGAATTTCGCACAAAATTCTTTAACTTAACGGTAAAGTGCATTTTTGATAAGAATGAAATTCAAGTTCGATTCTTGGAAGAATTAAAAGGTAAACAAGTTAGTGTAGTAAAGCTACCGACTATATTAAAAAAGAGAATTGACTGAGTGGTTTAAAGTGCCGGCCTTGAGTACTGGTATGGGACTCTCCCATCATGGGTTCGAATCCCATATTCTCTGTTTTGTGATCTAGATTAACAGAAAGGTGAGTTTCGTAACTACGAAACTGCTATAATGTAACCGTGCATGCACAAATTTACCTTTTACAGATTAGGGCCGGGTTGGTTAGGCGCTCCTTTTGGGAAGGAGAATAGTTGCGTTCGAACCGCAATAATCTGATATGGAATTAATAGAAATGTAATTGATATAGAACATATATTTATATGAAAATATATAAGTATACAAAGAAACTATTATGGAAATCTGGCTATGTATTAAAGGGTATGATTTATTTACTCAAATTAAGAATTTAGTCTAAAATCTAAATAATGATTTATATTAATTTAGTATAAATTATTATTAGAATCTAAAAACTTATTTTAAATATAAACCCTAAGAGAAGTTTTTTAATAAACGAAGTGAATTGAAACATCTTAGTAACTTCAGGAAAAGAAATCAAAAGAGATTCTACGATTAGCGTGAGCGAAAGTAGAGAAGCCTATATATTAATAAGTAAAATGGTTTAGAAACTGTTTGAATTTAATGGGGAACCTTCCTCAAAGGCTAAATATAATACATAAGCGATAGTGAATAGTATCATGAGAGAACGATTAGAATTAGTAGTTTTATAAGCAGTTCGAGCAAAATAAATAAGTGAGAACGTACCTTTTGCATAATGGGTCACCAAGTTAACATTAGATGCGAGTGAAAGCGTAGATAAACCAATCGTTAAAATAACGAATAGTGTCTAAAGTTAGACCCGAAGCCTGGTGATTTTACCACAATCAGGATTATAAAAGTCCGAACGGGTTATCGTTGTAAAGATATCCGAAGAATTGTGGTAGGTAGTGAAAGACAACACTGACTAGGATAGCTGGTTTTCTGCGAAACCTATAACAGTAGGCAATTTGAGTACATCTTAGCAGGTACAGAATTTAATCTCAGACAAGATGTTTTCATTTTAGTTCTTGAACTAAAACAACATGTTGATTTGTATATATCGGGGGATCGTGAAGATTTTATCGGTGAGTATGTAGACTCGGAATGGCAAAGATGGATCTTGAATTATCAGACATAGAATGATAAGGTTGTATGTCAAAAGGGAAACAGCCCAGAACAAGAGTTAAGGTTCCAAAATTATTAGTTAAGTGAAATTAAGAAGGTTTTTATTAAAGTCGACAAGGAGATGGGCTTAGAAGCAGCCAAATTTTGAAGACCTCGTAACAGAGCGCTTGTTAAGTTTTAAAAGCATCGAAAATTTAACGGATCTAAACAATATACCGACACCTTGTCCATATTTTACAATATCTATTATTGTAATTTTGTGGGGTAGCAGAACGTTGAATTAAATTAAGATATTTCTTCTGTGAAGAAATATATAACAAACAATTCAAGTGAGAATGGTGACATGAGTAACGAATAAGAAGGACACGAAGAGAAAGGGAACAAGGTAAAAACTTGTGATCGGCCTTTTCAAATCCTCCGCCTAAAGCTTATGGATGGGCAGATACCCTTAAAGTAACGGCCTCTAAGTTATAAATCTAAAGGTTTAAACGATGAGAAAATCTTTTTTACTAAATGACAACATTTACAAGTGATAAGTGTGCTGGAAAAAATAGTAATATATCTTATTGCAAAATAAGATGAAAAAATAACCGTACCTAGAAACTAAAACAAGTAAGCTAGTAGAGAATACGAAGGCGTAAATGAGCTAACAATCATAAAGGAACTCGGCAAACTAACTACCGTAACTTCGGGATAAGGAGAGCTCATTAGTCCTGATTAATATCGGGTAAAAAGGAAGAAGCATAAAATAGTGTTGTACGACTGTTTAATTAAAACACAGCACTTTGCTAAAAGATTAAAAATCGAAGTATTGAGTGTGATGTCTGCCCGATGCCGGCTGGTTAACGAATTTAACTAAATTGATCAAAAAATTTGGTGTTGAAGGAACCCCCGGTTAATGGCGGCCTTAACGTGAGGGTCCTAAGGTAGCGAAATGCCTTGGCCGTTAAATGCGGTCTTGCATGAATGATGTAACGATACAACAGCTGTCTCTATGATTGACTCAGTGAAATTGGAATAACTGTGCAGATACAGTTTACCTCTAGTTAGACGAGAAGACCCTATGCAGCTTTACTGTTACTAATTATAGGGTATGATGGATTAATTTTCAGATTATAAGGTACATTGATTCAATAAAAATGAAAATCCTTTATTTTTACATCATACTTCAGAATTAATTCTTTTGATTCTCCTTAGAGAAAAGAAAGGATTAACCTAGTCTGACTTAAAAGTAGCCTTAGGTAAGGAATATATTGTTAGGAGACAGTTTATGTGGGGCACAGGCCCCTTAAAGAGTAAAAGGGAGTGTCTAAAAATTATTTGTTATAAAATTTATAACGTTGTTTGTGATTTTATGTAGTTTTACTATATTTAATCTTATAAAATTATCTTTATCTACCCTTGTTGTAGATACGGATGGATATTAGGTACGATTTTCACTATAGTGAAAGTAGCGGTATAAAAAAATATTATGAAATTTTTCTAATATTTTTGAGTTATTAAGGGTTCTCTTAATAATAATGATAAATACCTGAAAAGCTCAACGGCTTATTCGTGCCTTACTGTTTGATTAACAACAAATCTTACAGTTGCGTAAGCAGGGCATAGGATCACAAGATGCAAAAAGGAAAGATCTTGGATTATTGGAAAAGCTACGCTAGGGATGTTTGTCCTTCAATATTTTTAGGGCTTTGGTCACAAAATTATTGATAATATATTGGGTTAATTTCAAGAATTACTTATTTAAGTAGATTTGAAGCGAAATTTATCTTGGCATAATTATTTAAGATAAAATCGTTCAACGACTATAAGGTGAGTTATGCTAACAATAATCCTTTTTAACACCCAACATTTTTATTACCATACACTTATAAAAAAAGATAAAAAGAAAATAAAATTTATTTTTATGAAAGCGAAAGCTCTAAATACAAACGCTAAAATTTTTCGTACTAATTTAAACAATAAGTTTAAATTAACACCATTTAATTCTAGATTTAATGATACAGGTAGAGTGAAATACTTACCTCCTGTTTCTAAAGAATGAAAAAGCACTATTTATTCATATTATAAAAAAAATATGCAAAATATGCCTATAGATAATATAAATGCGAATAAAGTAATACAAAGTTACTTTAATTTACATTTTGCTAATAATAAATTTATAGGGTCAAAATACATATCTCCTAGAAAAAGAAGTTTATTATTAAAAAAAATCTATGTAAGTAAAATGGAAACAAAACATACAAATTCTAAAGCTATAATAACTTTATACACTATTAATGTAGGGAAAAATATTATATATAAACAATATAAAAAATTATCTCAATATTGAGAAGATAAAGTATTAAATTCATTTAAAGATGGATTAAAGAAAAAAATACAAGGTGTGAGCGCAAGCTCTTCTTCACATCTAACTAATACAAATAATATTGCTTTAGTTAAAAACGAAGATCAAAAACAAATTCTTTTTTCTAAATATAAATTTTTAACAGAGTCTTTACAATGTTTTAATTTATATTTAAGATTATACTTTAAGTAGACAATTTAAAAAATCTTATTTTGATAAAATAGATTTACTAAGAAAATACCAATTAAATTATTATTTAAATAAATACAAATTTGAAAGAAATATTTACTTACATAAATTAAGTAATATGTTATCTAGAATATTTAATAAAACTATCGAATTTAATATAATAAATTTAAA